AGGAGGTAGAAATATCCCAATATTTGGTTAAACCATTATCAAATCTGTATCATTTAAACCAGAGCATGTTGCTCATAGGCAGGTCTGCGTAGTGGAGCCAGATTTAATTTCCTCACTTGTACATGTTTTGTTTTTGCTTGTGTTTTTCCTTTTTTAGAGTTAACAATTGCTTATGTTTATTTGCTTCTTTCTCTGTGTACCTATCATTAGATCATCACTAAATCCTCTAATTTATCTCCAAGCTCCATTCAAGAGGGTTGAACATATCAGGTAATCTACCGGCTCCCTTTATTTTGTGGAGATGTCTCTTCAAGAGCTCCATTTATGGGATGATGTCTGCTGTGTATTCCAGGCATCACCCATGGATCTCCTCTCATCACTGTCTTTGGATTTTCCTCCATCTCTCTCCTATAATGGGTCTCTTATTTCCTGAACATAGTGTCCTTTCCTTTCTGGGCTTATGTATTTCTTTGGGTGGAGCACACCCTCTGGTAGCTTTCTGAAAATGGGTGCACAGGAGATAAATTTTGGAGCATAGAATAAGTAAAGATGACTTCATTCTGCTTTTATTCTTGATTGATAATTTAGCTGGGTATAATCTTCTGGATTGGAAGAATTATCCCTTAAGACATTTTGCTGAAACATAAAATGTTTCCAGAATTTCAAATGTTCCCTTGTGCTGTTTCTCAGTTAACTCAACTCTCCCAAGGAATCACTAGTTTACCTTATTTCCCTATGGATTGGTTTCACCTGTTCTGTCTACTTCTTAGTTTATGGCTCCTTTTGCTCAACAGAGTGTCTGTGATAAGCAGCCATATGGATGATGCATTATTGATCCACTCTCTTTTCCTGATGATACAAATTTAGACTATTTACAGATTTTGGCTAATATTAATAATGCTGCTATAAGAATTACTGTACATTTTGGGGTTTTTTGGTGGATGTATTTAGCAATCTACTTCAGTGTGCACCCATGAGTAGAATTTCTGGGTCGAACGATAGGCACATGTGCTGTTTAGCATATATCTTGTCCCAACGGCTTTCTAAACACATTTACATCCCTATTGGCCAATATTATGACTTGTATAATGACTTGTCATTCTATATCCTTTGTAAAATGAGGTATTGTCAATCTTTTAAAATTTTATCCATTTTGGAAAGGGTGTAAGGATACCACATCATTGCATTAATTTGCATTCCCTAATGACTAAAGCTGCTCATTGAGCACCTGAATATATTTTCTTCTGAGGTTGCATGTTTAAGTCATTTGCATGGCTTTTAAAAGTAAGGTTATTTGTATTTCTCATTGGATTATGCAAATTTATTATATTTTCCAAATATGCGTTAATTGTTGCATGTATACAGTGGTGTGTGATAAATGTTTGATAACTGGCTGTATGTAAAATGAAACCAAAAAGCCCTAATTTATTGCATGTACCAGTTCCCATGATATAAATACACCACAGCTCTCATTGTGATGTTTTGAACACAGAACTGGGAAGAAGTGGTACAAGCGTGCTTCAGCACTCCACCGGGTATAAGCGTTACACACGTCTCTTCCAAGTCAGGGACTTTTTTTTCTCATCCACTGGATGGTATCCTTTTTAAAAAGTCAACTTATTGAGGTGTGATTTGCATACTGTAACATGTACCTGTCTAAAGTTTCTATTTGCTTAGTTTTGGAAAAATATGCACTGGAGTGACCACTGCCACAAGGAACGTATAGAACTTCTCCATTATCCTGAAAATTTCACGTGTGTTCTTAATCCCACCCTGTCACACCCTGGCTTCAGGAAACTACGGAACTCCTTCCCATCTAGGTTAGCTTTGTGTTCTCTACAGGTTCACGTAAATTATGTAATATGAATTCTTAGGGTTTGACTTCTGCTTCTGAGTGTATTGAGATATATGAGTATGCATGTGGCTGCCTTCTTTTTGTGCTGCATAATATTCCATTGTGTGGATATAATACAATTTATTCATCCGCTGAGCTGTTGATGCACACACAACTGGTATGAACGTTCATGAACAATTCCTCGTGTGGACTTATGTTGCCACTTGTCTTGGGTAAACAGCCAGGAGTGGGATGTCTGGGCCACATGATTGGTGTATGATTGACAGACTGCCCAACCGGTTCCCAAGTGACCACACGTGTTTACATTCCCTCCAGCAAATCTGTATGTTCTTTTACATCTTTGCTGACACTCACGGTGGTTAGACTTTCTAACTTGAGGTGTCTTGATGGATGTGTTGTGATGTTCATGGTGTCCTTGATGAATAGAAGCTCCTAATTTTAATGAAGTCCAGTGTAACGACACTTTCTTTTGAAAAAGAAAAAATACATTTATTTATTTACTTTTGAGAGAGAGAGCAAGAGTGTGTGAGTGTGGGGAAGGGGCAGAGGGCCAGAACCTCCACACAGACTCTCTGCTGAGCAAGGAGCCCTACCAGGGGCTCAATCCCAGACCCATAAGATCATGACTTGAGCAGAAACCAAGCGTTAGATGCTGAACTGATTGAGCCACTCAGGCACCCCTGACTCTTGCCTTTTTGTTTATTTCTTTTTTCTTTTCATTTTTTCCCTCCTTTTTCTTTTTTACTTTTTTACAAACCCTTGTGTCGAGGGCTGATGACTCTTGCCTTTTGTGTTTAGTGTTCTTGGCGTCCCATTGCCAGTCTTTGTGTACCGCACATTGTGAAGATACTCTCCCATGTATCCTTCTGGACCTCCACCATTTTGCCTTCTGCATTCAGCTCTGATATCCTTGTCCTCCCCTCACTAATTGTGTATGTGAAGTGAGGTAGACGGCAAAGTTTACTTTCTTGCCCTCGCATACAGACACCAGCTGGCCTGTCTCGTCACTACCCTACTAAGCTGCAGCGGTGCCCTGATTGGGAATCAGGGAATCAGTGACACTGAGGGCGAGGGTCATTACTGGACCCCTGGGGCATCTGCTCTTGTGTCATCATCTGGATCTCGTACTTTTTGTGATGGAAAGTGTCACCCTGACCTTTCAAGCTCTCCCATGATTGCTGGCCTCCTCAAGGGCTTTACCTTTCCTTACACTGATTTCAGTGATACTTTCCTAGAAAATTGTCCCCTTAGCCCACAAAATCTGACTGTATTGACTTAAAGATATATATTTCTTTCCATAATTTAAAATTTTCTCCATCTTTGGTCATGTGTCTGTTTTGATACTTAATATCCGTTATCTTTTTTTTTTTTTTAGGTTTTCCAACATTGTTACCCTTTTATAGACTTAAAAAAATAAATGTTTGGTTTCTTTGATTATATCTACTGTTGCTTTTTCTGCTTTAATTCATTAATTTTATTAATTTATTTCTTTTATTTCCTTTGGAAGTTTCTGAATTGAAATCTTTTTTATTCTCAATTTTGCTTGTATACTACTGTATATCCTTGAGGATTATTGTGCTTTGGTTTACTCCCCAGTTTGGAAGCACTTTAAATTTTCCAAACAAAACTTCTTTTTTATTTTTATAAGTTCATCTTAATGAATCTGTCACAGAAACTGGTTTGTATATAACATTTTTTTACCTTTCTAGATAGTATTTTTATTATAAAATATTTCAGGAAGCATAGAAAATAGTAGAATAGACATCCAAATATCTATGAGTTAACAGAAACCTTAACATTTTGCCATATTTGCAGAATATTCCACATGTTGTTGACATGCCATCTGACCCCCCCCCTTGGGATAGCCCCCTGTTTGGAGGCTGGCATTCACATTCCTGCACATGCTTTTGTAGTTTTCATAGAGAAGTTTATAGTCATGAAGGCAAAGTATCACTTTGTGGTTTTAACCTTCCAGTGTGGGCTTTTCCGCACATATCAATCTGCAATGTGATTTTTATTTTTATTCAATGTTATGTTTCTGCCATTCATCTGCTGTGTTTCTCCGGTTCAGTCATACTAACTACCACATGCTCTTTTCTTGTGTGCATAGACTGTGGTCTAGTTGCCCATTCTCCCACTAAAGGTGGTGTTTAACTTTTAGGCCTTTCAGACTCCATTGTACAATAATCTATGTGGGCGTCAAGTGCACACACATAAGTCTTCTCCAGGAGAGCTGCTCGGGGTATAGGATGTGCACAGGTTTCGCTTTTCCAGATGTTACCAACTTGCTTTGAAACATGACTCTCACCTGCAGCATAAGCAGACCCTGTTTCTACACTTTGGGCGATGCTTGTTGTCATCAGACTTGAACATTTCTGCATTGGGGTCCCCAGGATTTTGGTGATTTGCTGGGGGACCTCCCAGGACTCAGTATGTAGAGCAAAGTCAGCCCAGGGGAAAGGTGTGTGGGGAGATGCCAGTGATACTGGACACATTTCCAGAGCCCTTCCCAGTGGGATCACCCAGGACATGCTTAACTCCCCTGCTAGGAGCTGTGACAACATGTATGATGCGTCACTCCCCAGGGAGCTCATCAGAGATCAGCACCTACGGTTTTTATCAGGGCCAGATCACATGGGCACCGTCTGCCTGGCTTGTACCAAAATTCCAGGCCTCCAGGAAGAGTGACTACTCAACACAAGCCATAGTATTTGTACAGTTTATGCCAGTGAGGCCCTCCTATCACATGGGTGGAAACTCTCCCAAAGTCTACATTCCCAGACACCCCCTAAGGGCCTACCTTATGAGCAGGCCTAAAGACAGCTGCCCAAGGCCTGCGGTGCTGACTCTTAACTGCACAGGGCCTGTGGAGTCCATCCTTCTGGAGCGGGGGCTGGAGACAGTCTGCGTTCAGGGAAGTCGCCCCTGATGGGTGGCTCTTCCCCAGGGTAGGCACTGCCATCAGACTATTTAGCCTTTATGTCCTTGAAAATGTGTCCACATCCTGGACATACATGTAGCCAGAGGCACTTCCTGGACACTACTAAAGACAGGACATGGTGGTCCTAGGGCACAACCCGGACCATCCTTATGTGGGGGGTGTTAGGTGGGGATCTTTGTTGGAAACCACAGAAATGAATTCTGCTTAACTTGATCAAAAAAGGAATTTATTGGAGGGACTGACAGCTACAGAATGAGGGTTGGTGAAGAAATAAGCTCAAGAATCAGTGGAGGAGCCAGGGCCATACCGGGTCCAGGGGCAATAGTGAGAAACCAGCTCTGGAAAAGACACTTTATCTTGTCTCCTTTCACTCCACGAGGTTCAAAGGCTTGGGGGAGCCCAGCTGGCCTTGCTGAAGTCACTGCCAATCCAGGTGGAGGAGGCAGGGCATATTGACTAGGGGAAAGTTAGTACCTGAAGAAAGTCAGTGGAACAAATGCACCATGGGAAACAGGTGACCAGTGTCCACTGCAGGAGCCCAGGGAAGAGGACTGGATGCTTGGTGCTTAGTAAAGAATCCAGGGTGTGCAGGTGGGCTCTAGAGCTTTGGGTGCTCTTATGAAGATCACTTAGCAGCAGGACTTCTGGGCTGAGGAGGGGCCGCAGCAGGCCTGGCGGGAGCACACGGGGCGGCACAACAGGGACACGCTGGAGGCCTGGCGGCAGCAGCTGGGCTGACAGGGGGAGAGGGTGGCGCAACAGGCAGGCCTGCACACGGGGCGGCAGAGGAGGGACACACAGGAGGAGAGTCTGCAGGGGCTGGGCTGGCAGCAGGGGGAGGCCTGGCAGCAGACAGGCTTGCAGCAGATGGGCTTGCAGCAGACAGACACACAGCTGTCTTCCTGGCAGGGGGAGGAGCTGCAGCAGGAGGGCTGGCAGCTAGACTGCTGGCAGCAGGGGGAGGCTGAGCAAGGGGAGGCCTGGCAGCAGACGGGCTTGCAGCAGACAGGGGTGCAGCAAATGGGCTTGCAGCAGACAGACACACAGCTGTCTTCCTGGCAGGGGGAGGAGCTGCAGCAGGAGGGCTGGCAGCTAGACTGCTGGCAGCAGGGGGAGGCTGAGCAAGGGGAGGCCTGGCAGCAGACGGGCTTGCAGCAGACAGGGGTGCAGCACACAGGCTTGCAGCAGACAGGGGTGCAGCAGACGGGCTTGCAGCAGACAGGGGTGCAGCACATGGGCTTGCAGCAGACAGACACACAGCTGTCTTCCTGGCAGGGGGTGGAGCTGCAGCAGGAGGGCTGGCAGCTAGACTGCTGGCAGCAGGGGGAGGCCTCACAGCACACGGGCTTGCAGCAGACGGGGGTGCAGCAGACAGGGGTGCAGCAGACGGGGGTGCAGCAGACAGGCTTGCAGCAGACAGACACACAGCTGTCTTCCTGGCAGGGGGAGGCGCTGCAGCAGGAGGGCTGGCAGCTAGATTGCTGGCAGCAGGGGGAGGCTGAGCAAGGGGATGCCTCACAGCAGAGGGGCTTGCAGCAGACAGGGGTGCAGCAGACAGGGGTGCAGCACACGGGCTTGCAGCAGACAGACGCACCACAGCCCTCCTGGCAGGGGGAGGAGTTGCAGCAGGAGGGCTGGCAGGAGCCGGGGCAGGCTGGTGGGCAGGGGCTGGACCCGCAGCTCGCAGGGGTGCAGAGGAGGGTCAGGCAGGAGGCCGGGGCGCAGCAGGGGGGCTCGCAGTAGCTCTCAGGACAGTCGTCCACTTGCCAGGACGGGTCGGGGCAGGAGTCGCCGGAGCCGGGCAGGCAGATGCGGCCGCGGTAGCTCAGGTCGCTGGAGCAGACGGACAGGGTGGAGGCGGCCATGGTGTGGGTGCTGGGGCGGGTTGTGGGTGCGAGTGAGTGTGTGGGTGCAGGTGTGGGTGTGAGTGTGCGAGGTGCTGGGCTGGCGGCTTTTATACCCCTCCTGGTGCGTGCTGTCCAGCAGCCGGTCCCTCAAGCCTGCCTTCCTTGTTGGTGTTTGGAGCCCGGGACTCTCATTAGTGCCGGCTTTATGTTTGGTCCTATGAGGTGTTGCTTAGCTATAAAACTCCTAGTATATTTTGGGATCTGTTGACACATGCTCTGGTTCCTTTGGTGCAGCACAGACGTTGAGCTAGTAAAGGTGTGAGTCTGCAAAAAGCATGTCCTGGGGCCAGGTTGGCTGCATAAGAAATCCATCCCTTGGAATCCTAAGTGCCCTTTGTTGACACCCGGGTGGATCTCGTACACACCGGTGGGGTGGGGTGCGGTGGGGAGGGGTCTCTGCTAGCCAGGGTGGTGAGCTTCCAGAGTGCCAGGCTGGAGAAGCCAGGGTCAAAGAAGCTGTGGGGCAAGAAGTGTTCTAGTTGTGACACCCTGGTGCGGAGGGCTCCCCTGACGGCACCTGCAGGTGGCAAGCAGGTAACGGTGGGACAGTCGGGTGGCCACTTCCATGTCCTTGGGTGGCCACCAGGCCTCTTATGCCTGACCACTCACTGAGGCCGTGGGTTCTGCATCTGCGCACAGACTTCTTATGCCCCAAACACCGCAAACCTTGAGTACAAACAGGGGTGCAGAAGGCACAGCTCCAGCAAAGCCTCCATGTGGAAAACAATGATTGCCTTTGTCTTTCTTATTGATTTTCTTGATTGTTAGCTGAAAAATTCCTTGGGTCACCCCAGCCAGGAACCTGAATGTCATCCGAACCCCTTCCTTCCTTCCTTTCTTCTGGAAGTAATATCCAAGTGGCCACCAAGTGGTTTTGGTTTCCTCTGCTAAATAAATTTCCATCATCTCTGGTCCTTCTACCTTCCAAGTGTGAACTTACTCACTGGGGAGCCAGCCCCCCCACCATGTGCTGGGAGTGGTGCCAAGCTCGAGAATGCATGGGTGCCCAGGGCCCGGCCTGGCGCGTGGAGCCCCTGGGGGAGGGCTCTGGGGGCACTCAGGCAGCGTGTGGTGCCCCTGCTACGTCTGTGAGCTCCAGTCCTCGCCCTTCCTGGCCATTCTGTTTGCAGCAGTGGTTCTCACCCCAGGCCCCTCAGCCACGAGGAAGTTCATGATGGGGCAGAGGGGTTCTAGGAATTCAATTAAACTGCAGACTGAGTTTCTTTATATCATTTATTTATTTATTTATTTATTTATTTTATTTCTTAAAAGATTTTATTTAGTCATGAAGACAGAAAGAGAGAGAGGCAGAGACACAGGCAGAGGGAGAAGCAAGCTCCACACCAGGAGCCTGATGCAGGACTGGATCCCTGGACCCGGGATCATGCCCTGAGCCGAAGGCAGATGCTCAACTGCTCAGATACCCAGGTGTCCCTCTATATCTCTTTAAAAAGATTCTACTTATTTATTTGACAGAGAGAGAGAGAGAGAGAGAATGAGCAGGAGGCAGATGCTCAACCCACTGAGCCCCCCAGGCGCCCTTTCTTTATGTCTTGAGTTACAAAAATAGTACAGGTTGAGCCTGGCCTCCCATGCTCAGGTTCCAGTCCCTCTGGGGGCACGGGAAGTGATCTGTCGGCTGGAAGTGCATGGCAGAAGCAGGGAGAGGAGAGGTTTGCCATCTATGACAAGGCAGCCCTTGCCAGACATTCGTACCCAGCTGAGGACAGCTTGGAAGCTGGATAAAATACAAGAGTGTCTGTGCTAGCTTTTGAAGGCGGCTGATGAGACTGAGCATTAAGGGGCAACATGTGGAGATGCGCGGGGGGAGGGGGGGACACTCCAGAGAGGCGAGCTGGCATCTCCAAACGGCTTTTCCCCAGGTGCAGCTGATGAATCTTGTGTACGGTGTGAGGGGAAGCAAGTAGCGTACAGAGAGGCCAGCGGAGCTTCTGGAAACCTGGGAGGGTGGAGATACTACATGGGAGTCTGCGACTGAGGAGGTCACATGGACCCAAGGGGCAAGACCCCAGGGAGGTGGCAGGCAACGAGACGAGGGAGCTCTAGAGCCGCAGCTTGTATCTCAGGGCATTTGCCAAATGTTTATGCTAGGCGGGAAAGACGCTAAGAAAGCCAGCGGAGAACCAGCAGAACCCAAGCAGAGCTTTTGCAGCCTCATTGCCAAGAAGACATGGCCAAGCAGGAGTGGCTCTCGGGTGCGACCCCTGGACAGCTCAGACCCAGGAGTGGGGAAGCCAGATGTAGGGCAGCCTCAGGTCAGTAGGGTCCTCTGCCCCTCTCAGGCCGCCAGCTAGCACGGGGAGAGAAACTCATCCAGAGCTGCTAGAATTTTTCATAGACGATGTCAAACATTCGATCAAGAATTATGGGGCACCTGGGTGGCTCAGTGGCTGAGTGTCTGCCTTCGGCTCAGGGTGTGACCCCAGGGCCCTGGGATCGAGTCACCTGTCGGGCTCCCCACAGAGAACCTGCTTCTCCCTCTTCCTGTGTCTCTGCCTCTCTCTCTGTGTCTCTCATGAATAAATAAATAAAATCTTAAAACAATTTTTAAAAAAGTTTAATATAAGCCACCAGTGTGCTGATGAGTCTATAAAAATGCTGTAGTAATCTTAGTGTTATTAGTAAAGTATAACTTCAATTCTCCAAAAAAACCAAGTGTAAAGTATTAGATATTTCAATTTACAAATAAAGATTGTTTGCACCAAAAAAAAAAAAAAATGTGTGCAAATTCCAAGAACTGGGTCCTGAATACAAGGGCCCAGAGGATTGGAAGCACAAGGATGAGAAAGATACAAACACACAGGACAACGTGAAATTCTGTGCAGCTGCAAACAAGAAAGAGGAATCTTTGTATTTTCATAGGCAGGGGGCTCCATGTTATATTAAGTCACAAAAAAATCGTAGTGGATAGAATGTGGTACAATCTGTATTTTAAAAATGTATGGGGATCCCTGGGTGGCGCAGCGGTTTAGCGCCTGCCTTTGGCCCAGGGCGCGATCCTGGAGACCCGGGATCGAATCCCACGTCGGGCTCTCGGTGCATGGAGCCTGCTTCTCCCTCTGCCTGTGTCTCTGCCATTCTCTCTCTCACTGTGTGCCTATCATAAATAAATAAAATTAAAAAAAATTAAAAAATAAAAAAAATGTATGCACACACATACATGACGCACGTGTGTGTGCCCACACGGAGAGGAGAGTATTCATTATTCACGGATTCTTCAGCTGGGATTCACTTACTTGTGACAGTTTATCTGTAACCACAAATCCAGACTCGCAAAGTGTGCGTGGCCATCCGTGGATGTGGGCAGAGTGCCCCCAATTTAGGAGGCGGACGTGCAATCCCAGCTGAGCAGGAACAGGTTCTGCCTCCTGTGCCTCCGGGACTCTACACCTGTCCTTTCACTGTGTCCTTCATGCCGTATTTTGTGCTTTATGTTGTGACTTAGTGGGTGGAAGTGGTCGCTGCCGGCACCGCCCCGAGGGTGTGGGGCTCTGAGCCCAGGAGGACTCGCATCCTACAGCGAAAATGCCAGGTAAGCCGTGCTCAGGTGAGACTTGGGCCCTGAGTCCAATGTTACGTGAGATGTGTATCGAGTACTTATTACCTAAGTCACTGAACAGAAACACACGTCAAGCCAGGTAACGGATGAGGTTGCTGAAGGTGACCCGCGCTTGCAGGGCCCTGGCCCGCCTCCCCCAGGGGTGCTGGCTCAGCGTTCCCCGTATCTGCTCACGCTGGGTTTTCGGCGACTTTCTAGAACGTGGCTACTGTGATGAGAATGCCCTGCGTGCACGTGTGTGCCCCCGTGTGTGCAGACAGAGTGAGACACACGGAGAGACACGCACAGAGATACGGGGGGCGGGGGGATATGGCTGCATCCTGAGAGGAGGGTGGGGCTGGCAGGCGGGGCTGAGGGTGGCTCAATGGTCCTGGCCCTGTTTCCTAACCTTTCTTGTGGTTCTGTGTCCCGGTGCTGCTCAGTGACACCCTGGGGTGTCTGGGGTCCTGCAGGGCTGGAAGAGGGGCAGGGTGGGGGCTGGCGGGGACTGTACAGAGGGGGCTGGGGTAGTGACTGCACCGCCACCGCCAGGCCCTGCTGCTTGGGGGCTCACCCACGACCACAGCCCCGGGAGGGGAGGGAGGCACACAGTTGAACACAAGCCGGGCCATCTCCCGAGCACGAAGGCAGGTGCAAAGCAGACACACAGACAAGACGTTCTTTGGTGATGAGAAATGCTGCAGCGGGGTAACCCCTGGAGATGCTGAGCCCGCGGCCTCGGGTCCCGCCTTCACGGGGGCAACAGCCCTGCATCCCCAGGGGGCAGGTGTTAAGCCGCAGAGAAATGTGGCGGCCCAACGCCGTCAGCCTCCGAGGGCGCACCTGCCCTGGGGCTGCCCCGCACACCGAATGGTCTCAACACTCGCCTGACACCCCCATCCATCCCCTGTCCTGAGAACCCGGGCTGAGACCTTGTCACTGCTCCCGAATCCCCGGGGACACGTGGGCCACCTCGGGAGTCAGTTGCAGTCATTTATGAGCTGCACAACGTGCCTGCAAATTAACATCCCTCGGGGCCTCGGAGCCGGAACTGCAGGCCGCTGGGCCCTGGGACGCAAGAGCCAGGACAGTATAAAAACCGACACCTCAGCACCTCACACACTCACACCCACACACGCACCCACACACACACCCGCACCCACACCCCGCCCCAGCACCCACACCATGGCCGCCTCCACCCTGTCCGTCTGCTCCAGCAACCTGAGCTACGGCAGCCGCGTCTGCCTGCCCGGCTCCGGCGACTCCTGCCCCGACCCCTCCTGGCAGGTGGACGACTGTCCCGAGAGCTACTGCGAGCCCCCGTGCTGCGCCCCGGCCTCCTGCCTGACCCTCCTCTGCACCCCTGCGAGCTGCGGGTCCAGCCCCTGCCCATCAGCCTGCCCTGGCTCCTGCCAGCCCTCCTGTGGCAGCTGCTCCCCCTGCCAGGAGGGCTGCGGTGCGTCTGTCTGCTGCAAGCCCGTGTGCTGCACCCCTGTCTGCTGCAAGCCCATGTGCTGCACCCCTGTCTGCTGCAAGCCCGTGTGCTGTGAGGCCTCCCCCTGCTGCCAGCAGTCTAGCTGCCAGCCCTCCTGCTGCAACTCCTCCCCCTGCCAGGAGGGCTGTTGTGTGTCTGTCTGCTGCAAGCCCGTCTGCTGCACCCCTGTCTGCTGCAAGCCCGTCTGCTGCACCCCTGTCTGCTGCAAGCCCGTCTGCTGCACCCCTGTCTGCTGCAAACCTGTCTGCTGTGAGGCCTCCCCTTGCTCAGCCTCCCCCTGCTGCCAGCAGTCTAGCTGTCAGCCCTCCTGCTGCAGCTCCTCCCCCTGCCAGGAAGACAGCTGTGTGTCTGTCTGCTGCAAGCCCATGTGCTGCACCCCTGTCTGCTGCAAGCCCGTCTGCTGCACCCCTGTCTGCTGCAAGCCTGTGTGCTGCACCCCTGTCTGCTGCAAGCCCGTCTGCTGCACCCCTGTCTGCTGCAAACCTGTCTGCTGTGAGGCCTCCCCTTGCTCAGCCTCCCCCTGCTGCCAGCAGTCTAGCTGCCAGCCCTCCTGCTGCAGCTCCTCCCCCTGCCAGGAAGACAGCTGTGTGTCTGTCTGCTGCAAGCCCGTCTGCTGCACCCCTGTCTGCTGCACCCCCATCTGCTGCAAGACCGTCTGCTGCCAGGCCTCCCCTTGCTCAGCCTCCCCCTGCTGCCAGCAGTCTAGCTGCCAGCCCTCCTGCTGCAGCTCCTCCCCCTGCCAGGAAGACAGCTGTGTGTCTGTCTGCTGCAAGCCCATCTGCTACCAGGCCTCCCCCTGCTGCCAACCCAGCCCCTGCAGACCCTCCTCCTGCGTGTCCCTCCTCTGCCGCCCCGTGTGCAGGCCCGCCTGCTGCGCCCCCTCCCCCTGTCAGCCCAGCTGCTGCCGCCAGGCCTCCAGCGTGTCCCTACTGTGCCGTCCCGTGTGCTCCCGCTGATGGGGCATGTGCCCCCAGGGCGCTGGGCGCAGGCCCCACCCAGGGACCGTGGGCCTCCTGACCACCCCTCAGCCCAGCCCTCACCTGTGCTAGGTGGCTGCCCCGACCCAGGACAGGGTCCCCCTGGGTGTCCACTCTCCTGACCTGACCTTCACCTCCTTCCTCCCAAGAATGCTGACTCCGTGGCTCCCCGGGGCTCCTGCTCCTGGGACGCACCTCCACCTGCCCTGGGTCACCTGCCTTCCCTCCCAGTTCCTCTGCTCGGGTCACCTGGCCTCACCCTCTGACCTGTGGGCACCTCCCTGAGCACCCCAATAAACTCATTTCACCAGGTGACCTGCTTCCTTTCATCTGACTCTCATGGGGGTGGTGTCCCGGGGTTTGGACCCGACAGTGGTCCCTTCCTGCGTGAACATTTCTGCGAGGAGCGATGAGAGGTCCTCAATGGCCAGGGCCCAACTACTCTGGGTGGGGCCGTGGGGTGGGACTCATGGCCTCGCCCGGACGGTCAGCACTGCTGGGCCCCACGTGCGTCCTCGGGGCTCCCGAGGCTGGCCACCTGCACACAGGGCGTGGCCTGGGGGGCTCAGCCTACACCCGTCTCCACCCACTGCCACAGCTGGACAAAGTGGCCTGGACAAGCCGGCCTGGGGGCCGCGGGCAGCAGAGACCCTGCGGCCTGGGGGCCTCCTGGGGTCTCCCTGAGGTCCTCCCATATGCTCTGCTCATCCCGTGGAGAGGTGGTGGGCTGGGGGAGGCAGTGCTCCAAGCCCCCAAAGGAAACAACTAGGTTGGAAGCACAATCTTCAGGGTGGGTGGCAGGAGCCCCAGGGTCCCGTCCTGGGCAGGACTCAGGACATCAGCTGGTAGGTCTGGACTCCACCTGGGAGCAGGAGGGACATGGAGTCACCGGGCAGGGCCTCCCCAGTGAGCTGGGAACCCCGTCAGGCCTGGATGTGCCCGGTGCTCTGGACAATGCTGCTCTGATGTCAGGATGGCATTGACGTCACATGAGGACACTCCTTGACAAGGGCAGAGGCATCCCCCTATGTCACCCGGCAGGGTTCCAGAACTCTTGCAAGCAGTGGCCCAGTGTCCCTTCCCCAGAAGGATCAGAGCTGGCTCCCCTGTCCCCCCAGCCTCCAGGTGGACCACGTGCCCTCCCCGCAGCTGTGTCCAGGACCAGAACCCACAAAGTGAGCCCGGCTGTCCTGGCTCAGTGCCCTCCGTCACCCACAGCCACCGCCCCCAGTGCCACACCACCCACCTGCTGCATGTTCCCTGCCTCCACGCTACCCCCCGCTACCAGCGCTTCCGTCTAAAATCTGTTTGAAATTCCCATATAATAGGATGCAGCCAATTTCATTGTACAGTTTTATGAGTTTTGAAAACAACCCGCACCTTCACCCTCCACTCGGGTCAGGGTATAAGCTGTCCCTCCTGCCGAAGGGTTCCGTGCGCCGGAGCCACCACGCCCTGCCTGGGCCCGGGAGCGGCTACTGGGCTCCGTCGCCAAAGTTGATGGTTCCTGGAGCGTCTGGTATGGTGGGAGCACGACAGGTTTGCTCGGTGTGTGGCTTCACTCACTTGTCTCTTTTGTTGCCTGCGTTCGCATTAATTCCATTTTAATTGCTGAGGTGTGTGATTGACCGGCGTGGCCCGGCAGGATCCACCTGTTGAAGTACGTCCGGGCCTCTGGGCCGCCTCCACCTTTGAACGATGATGAAACCGCCTAAGCGCCTGCGCTCTGCAGGTTTTGGTTTCTCCTGGGGAAAGCCCTGGGGGAGGCTTGCGGGGTCACGTGGTAGTAGTGTGCAGAGCGGCGTGTGCACCTCCTGGCGGCTACTGCGTGGGGCCGTGGGGGGGGGCTGTCAGCTTCTCGTGCGCCTGCCGGAGGTGGGTCTGTCTTCTGCAGGGAGGCGTCTGCTCAGATCCTCTGCCCACTGCTCTGCAATCAGACTGTTTGCAAGTGTTCCTTACGATGCCAGTCCCAGTCACTTATCCTACATGTATGCTGCATATTTCTCTGCCTGTGGCTTGGCTTTTCACTTTCCTTTTTTTTTTTTAAGGATTTTATTTATTTATTTATTCATGAGACGCAGAGAGAGGCAGAGACACAGGCAGAGGGAGAAGCAGGCTCCATGCAGGGAGCCTGATGCAGGACTCGATCCCAGGACCCCGGGGTCACGCCCTGAGTCGGAGGCAGATGCTTAACCCCTGAGCCTCGCAGGTGCACCCACTGAGGCTCTGTTAATTCAATTTTTTTTCTTTACTGCCTTTTGGTTTGGGTATTTTCTGTGATTATGTCTTCTAGGTCACTGATCATCTGCAGTGTTTATTATGTCTTTAAACTCATCCTTTACATTTTTTATTGTTGATCTTATGTTTATCAGCTCTTGGAGTTCCATTTAGTTCTCTTTTATATCTTACATTTCTCTCTGCTTTGTGTTCATGTTTTCCTTAAAATCCTTGTACATATTTATTATAATTGTTTTAACTACCTTGTCTGCTAATTCCAGCAACAGTCATTTCTGGGCTTGTTTGTATAATCTATTTTGCCTCTTGATTATGGGTTAGCTTTTTCCTCTGAATGTGTCAGTAATTTTGGGGCACCTGGGTGGCTCAGTCAGTTGAGCGTCCGTCCGACTCTTGCTTTCAGCTCAGATCATGATCTCAAGGTCATGGGATGGAGCCGTGTGTTGGGTTCCATGCATAGCACAGAGTCTCCTTGAGATTCTCTCTCCCTCTCCCTCCCCCTCTGCCCTGCCCTCACTCATGCTCACATGCTCTCTCTCTCTCTCTCAAATAAATAAATAAATAAATAAATAAATAAATAAATAAAATCTTTTTTAAAAAAGCATCTAGTAATTTTTTATTGGATGCTGGGTTTCAATAAAATAATAGTGTAATACTGTTGAGTGTTGTACTTTGTTTCCTTCCTCTAAACAGTGTTGGGCTTTGTTCCATCTGGCAGTTACCACCCGTGGACCGGCTTGATAATGGTGATGCTTCTGTGCTTGTTCCCAAGTTTTGTTACGGGGGATCTAGAGAGGCCTTTGCTCTCAGGCAGGGTTAGCGCGGCTCTTGATATGTGACTTCTGGGATCTGTACTGAATGCCTCTGGTACCCAGTGAGGTCTCCACTCTGGTCGTTTGGAAACCCATTGCCTCTTAGCCTTGCTTAAGCTCTGGGACTTGTTCCCCTTCAAGCTCCATGATTGTTCTTGTCCAGACTCATGGGGTTCTGAGTTCTGACAAATGGCTCAGTATTGGGCAGTGGACTCAAGGTGTTCCCGTGGAGCTCTTTGCTGTATATCTCTCTCTTCTTCTGTGTCTGTCCCCACAAATTCTGGGTGCCTCAGCCTCTTTGACTCTGATTTCCCTCTCTTCAGCTCAGCAACCCCTATACTGACAGCATTCCCCTCCACATGCTGCCGCCCAGAGACCCAGCCAGGAGGCTGGGGCAATCATAGGGATCTCCTCCTGTTTGTCTTCTCCTAGGGATCCAAGTTCTGCATTGTCAGTTGTCCAATGTCTGAAAATGGGTTTCTTATATATCTTGTCCCATTTCCTAGTTACTTAAGGTGGGAGGACAAGTCAGATCCATCATGTCCTGAAGCATAGCCTCACTCCTTTGTTTTGAGACTTCTGTTCTTCCTCTAGCCAATCCCTTGCTTCCTTCTTTGACTACTCAAGATCTTCCCTGACTCTGAAACTGAGTCTTCCCTCTTCCATTCTGGGAAATGCTCCAGCTAGACTGAAGCCCAACCTGAGACTTACCTGCTGCCCCAGGACTGGAGCATGTAGCCAACAGTCTTCAAGTGGGAACCCTCATAGTGGATGCTGGAGCCTCAACCTAACTTCTCTGGGGTTCTGACCTCCATGAGAAACAACACCAACCTTGCATCCCACACAAGGTTCAATGGGGTCCTGTTTGCCTGTATCCCATAGTAAGTATGTCAAGCCCTAATTGAAGGCCCCATCTATTGAGTGATTCAGGCAAAATCCAGATATACAGCTAAGAATTTTGTGAGTAAGAGTGGCCAAGGGAGGAGGGGGAGATGCCCGGGTGGCTCAGATGGTTGACCATCCAACATTTGGTTTTGGCTTAGGTCATGATCTCAGGGTCATGATCTCACAGGTGGTGAGATTGAGCCTCAAGTTGCATTCCGCACTCATCAGGGAGTCTACTTGAAAGTTATATCCCTCTGCCTTTCCCCCAACTTGTGGTCTCTTCCTCTCTCTCTCTCAAACAAATATATCAGTTTTTTTTAAAAAGATTTTATTTATTTATTTATTCATGAGAGACACAGGGAGAGGCAGAGACACAGGCAAAGGGAGAAGCAGGCTCCATGCAGGGAGCCCGATGTGGGACTCGATCCTGGGTCTCCAGGATCAGGCCCTGGGCTGAAGGCGGCACTAAATCGCTGAGCCACCTGGGCTGCCCAAAATAAATCAGTCTTAAAAATAAAAGGAGTGGCCAAGAGAGGTACTTGGACTTGGATCCTGGTATTGCTGGTGAGTTCTAGTCAGTGAACAGAGAGCATTTTTGGGGAGAAATGGCACATGCATGAAGAGTCCAAAGCTGCTCTGAGAGGCCGAAGCATGTGCTTAGTTATGGACCTTACAGATTCCCTGGGTCAAATGTACTCCATTAGACTGGTCTGTAGCAACAGAGAGGAACCCTGAGGTATCTAAAACAAGCTAGGAAAGTGCTTGACCTGGTGATAATAAATTTCACAGATCGGGATCCATTCGAGGGCATGGGAACATTGAGTCTTTACCCCAGGCTCTGAGGATGCAGACCTGGGGGACATCCCGGGGTCTTGGGCTCTGGGCTCAGTGACCATCAGCAGTTATTCAAGGTGGTACGTATGACCTCTGGTCACAGTTTTTGTTTGTCCCTTGAGTCACCAACCTTTGTGTTATCACTAATTAAGTTAGAAATGGAAGGAATATCTCTTAATGAATGAATTACCACTACAGAGATTTTGTTTTTTGTGAAATAAGTCTTCATGAGATGAGGCCCCTCCCAAATGGCCAGTGGAAGTGGGTGACAGTGTTGGATATCTTGCTGGGTTTTGCTTCCTCCTTCCTGCCCCCCACCTGCCAGCATGTTACCTTCTGCACTCAGAGTCGACTTTGGGAAGCCCCCTGGTTGTCGTGACTGGGAATGGCCATCTCTGCTGGGCCACTGAAGACTCCCCCGCAGGATTCTCGTTCTCAGGATTATTGTTGCTCTCTTGTTCCACGCGTTAGAGTTGGCACATCGAGCTGTGTGGTGGGGACCCTGTGTGGTGAACACTCTCATCTATCCTGGAACCAGGCTTTCCA